CATATCGCCAGTAGCTCCGCTTGGTAGACCGTGCAGAAGGACGGTAGAGCAAGCTTGAGGGCCTTAGTTTCGGCAGCGCCGCTCCATGCGGATAGCGCCGCACCCACTTTGCCTTCAATCTTGCTCCCGTCCGTGAAGATGTTAATATCATGGCCACTATGGGCCATGAATTGATCTCGGTCAGCCAGGCACTTGAGCTCCAGGTCGATCTGCTCGGCGGGGTGAGGTGACTGTAGCGCTGGGTACATCCGCTCAATCTCCCGACCCCCTGTCTCTCGCTGGGGCACCCCCCTCCTCGCCCCGTACAGCGCCGCGGCTTCGCGGACACGCAAGTCGAGGGGGAGTATCCCAGCGAGCAACAGTGCCGAGTTCAGGGAGGTGGTGCGGTAAGCCCGGCATAGCTTCTGTGCAAATCCCCTCTGGACCACGTTAAGCTGCTTGCGGATACCTAATTTATTTACAGCCGGCTCCCATACGGCGGCCGCGTACATTATTACAGGTTCCACCACCGCCCTGTAAATGAAAAAAAAAAAAAAATCTGTTAACCTTCACAACCTTTTTATAGATTTCGTTATAATTTTGCACTATTTTGATTTCCTTTGTATTGCTATTCGAGGATTCAAGGGTAGATTTGGCATGTGAAGTTAATATACTTGAACAGCGGGTGGCAATATGACCTTGAAGACCGCACTTGAAACAAACTCGTTGATCAGGTAGTGTACAATTTCGTAAAATGTGACCCGTCTTCTTGCAACGCGGACAGGGATCGATTTCAGGGTTAACTTTTTTTTATCTGGGGTGGTCATTTGCTTAGTATCCTTGATTGGTGTGCGTCCTTCGAATATTGGTGAACGATAATCATCAAGGGCGCATAGAAAGGCCTCATATAGTTCATCCGGACGCTGGCATTGGAAAGCACGTGCATTCGGTTGTAATGAAATCGGTAATCCTCTGATTATGCACGAGACACTGGCAGCGTCAGATAGATTGCAGCGAAAACACATAGCGATTTTATCTTGATAATATTTCGTCATTGTCTCGTTCGGCAATTTCTTCCTATGCATCATTTCGTCTAATAAAGCACTATAATCACGATGTTTGGGAAAAGCTCGTACCAACAAGTGTTTCCACTGATCCCAGGTATAGTTATATTCATCGAGTCTGTTGTACCACTTTCGAGCTTGCCCGCGAAGTTTGTCTTGTAGGTGAAAGGCTTTTACTTTACCGTCCCAGCCATGTATGTCACCCAACTGGTCAATCTTCTTCAACCATGTTGATACTGTGCAATCTTCTCCATCGGGGTCAAACTCTGGTATGAGGGACGCTGCATGATGGCCTTTAAAATGACGCAGCGGTACGGTTTCTTCATTAAGTTCGTGTATTGCCCTCTCAACTTCATTCTCTAGCAAGGACTTTAGTAATTTTCTCGCGGGCGGTGACGGATATTCTTCATCTTCGCTGCTATGATATTGTTCTTGTTCGCTCCATCCAGGCGGACGGACTCCGTTGCCGGTTTCATTAGGGCGATTACGTTTCATTATCCCACTTCTGAATAAAACGACACAGGTAAAACAAACACGTACGCACTTTATGCAACTATTAGTTTATTAATGATCACTGTACAAACTGGCAGAGTTTCTACTTATTTCGATGCTAACACAAGAATAATCAGAGAAATTAGCTATCTGGGCATTTATACCCTCTTCATTTGGCGATTGGATGTGACGTCACTCACAACCGGCAGACAGTTAGGAACCGGATGGCTTTGGCTTTGGCTTAACTTGGCTATGGCGTGGCATCATAAGGCTCGGCTGTATAATGTGGTGTGGCGTTACACAATATATATATATATATATATTTACGATCGTCGTTGTGTAAATTGATATACATGAAGTAATAATATCTAATAACTCATTGGAATATTTTTCGCCAAACCTAACCCAAACCAAAAAAAAAACAATATATATATAATCGATCGTCGTTGTGTAAATTGATATACATGAAGTATTAATATCTAATAACTCATTGGAATATTTTTCGCCAAACCTAACCCAAACCAAAAAAAAACAATATATATATCGAAGCAGCATTAATTTTCTCTATTATTTTCCATTATTTTATCATGAATTATACAGTGGGCGTTATATGGGAAGTGTTGGTTCAAATGAAAGTCGATGCAATCACAGTTGTATTTCAAATTAACAATAATCACTTTGTACATAGTTAAACAGCACTTCACTACACAACCATATACCACTTCACTATTACCACGTATAGACAATACGGAACGCAAGACAGTTCCTAGTGGAGCGGTCCTAAGCTTGGCTCGGCTCGAAGGCAAGTGTCCAGCCCTCTTAGCACCCCTCCCTTAGCTAGGCTCCGTCGTAGCACGAAGCTCGCCGAGTGTTGGCGATAATACCGAAGGTGCTGCCATCACTCAGGCGTCGTGCCGCGCTTCGTTTAGCGACCGTATTGATGACCGTCTCCGACACGGTCATCCTGCGTGCACACGCCCTCGTGTGTTAGCCGTGTGTTAGCCTGCAACCAAATAATCAACGAAAATACTTGCTCGACTCGGTCAATCCTGACCAGATAAAACTTAACTTTGAATCTGAATCATCTTTATTCTAACGAAAAGCTTTAACGCTAACACCTTTGTTTTTTTTTAAACTCCAAGTCACTGTAACTATCTCTAATCTAACTAATAACATTAGTCATCCAGAGCCATGTACCAACATCATTTAACACTTCAGCAATCAAACTAATTTTCAAATTTACTAGCACCTCTGTAAACCACTCTTAGGCCACGGCTTTATAAGCCAACCAGCAATCACAATTGCTCCACAATCCAGGTGCATCCACTACGGGATCACCGTATGTATCATCCTCTCGATGACTACACACTATGGTCATAACAGACCCCGACCTCCGCCAGAACTAAACGCACATCACACACCCACGGTCTTTTTAGTTTGAGCTTCCTCAAAAGACCGACTTTTACCAGGCTATGACTACGTTATAGTTACTAGTACGGTCGACACTACTACGGCCTTCAGAATGCTTACATTGGTTTCCATCGACTTCATTAAAACATTTGATTGGCATGATGATCATTATTTACATCAACCTCTATTGGTACATGACCTACTAGATTTTTTGTGTAAAGAATTTATAGCCATCATGTTAATAAACCTTTCAATATCTCATGTTCTATCATGATACCATTTTGTAACTAATAACTAGGCAAAACATAATATTTCAAAAGATTTTAAGAGAATGACCGTTAATCGTTACAAAACAAATTTTACTCTGTGCGGAATATTCCGTTTTGATCAATACTAGAAATTGCAAGGACAAAATCGTTAACCACACAATTTGACTGCTAAGTGTTATCTTACTAAGGAATATTCAGCACCATGATTATAACAAAAGCAATACAGATTACCTCTATGCCATTGAGCATTCGAAGATGGTTGTACAACACATACATCCACGCGTCGTTCCGTTCGTGTTGCACCCATATTGCTGCCGTCCACTCGACTGGCACTACTTATGCACCGGAGCGTGATTTGACCAGGCTTGCCACATTTGAAGCACACCAGAGACTTCACTGCAGGCTGCAATGCCGTTGCTGTCATCGAAGGTCGTTCCACGCTGTCATTTACCTTGCTTCTACACTCTGACCGCTTATGACTCACTTTTCTGCACTTATAACATTTTTACATTAGCTTAGCTCGTTTAGCATCAGGCACTTTTGAAAAATCATCAGATAAACTAGCTTTGCGTTTCAAATGTGAGAATCGATCTCGCGAAGCAATTTTCGTAGTAAAGCCAATCGTTGTAATTTCGAATTAAACTGACATAAGTGAGCAAGGACAGTCGCAATTGCTATCTGATTCTTGCTAGCGTCTTTCCAACGATTAGTCTGTGACGTCATTAGGCGATTTGCTTACGTAACGAGTTTCTTTTTTCATTTGGTTTGTCACTGTTAAAATTAATTAGCGTACCAGCCAATGTCTCGGTGGAAATAAATCTCGCCTTGAAAATCACTTTGAACTCTTCCTATGTTATTCTCTGGTATACAAATTGTGTCGACCCTTATCCTTTTAATTCCTTACTGACTGTTAAAATAAGTTAGCCGCCGTATGGAGGGTATTCGGCAAAACACAAATCTACAGTCGCAAATCAAGATCTTGCGTCCGTATCCATATTGTCAGGGTCAAACTCGCGTAACTTGATGTTCTTCTTCGTCTGAGGCATTTGCAAGGCCTCGATAAGATATCACATACTGACATTTTGTTGTTCAAACATAGCACGTCATTGTTCACTCACAGTTAGTTCTTTTTGCAATTGAACTAACACTGATCCCGCTTCTGATATCGAAGCTGCATTAATTTTCTCTATTATTTTCCATTATTTTATCATGAATTATACAGTGGGCGTTATATGGGAAGTGTTGGTTCAAATGAAAGTCGATGCAATCACAGTTGTATTTCAAATTAACAATAATCACTTTGTACATAGTTAAACAGCACTTCACTACACAACCATATACCACTTCACTATTACCACGTATAGACAATACGGAACGCAAGACAGTTCCTAGTGGAGCGGTCCTAAGCTTGGCTCGGCTCGAAGGCAAGTGTCCAGCCAAACCTAACCCAAACAAAAAAAAAACAATATATATATAATCGATCGTCGTTGTGTAAATTGATATACATGAAGTAATAATATCTAATAACTCATTGGAATATTTTTCGCCAAACCTAACCCAAACCAAAAAAAAAAAAATACAATATATATATAATCGATCGTCGTTGTGTAAATTGATATACATGAAGTAATAATATCTAATAACTCATTGGAATATTTTACCAATGAGTTATTAGATATTTTCATAACCCAAACCTAACTCAAACATCAGATGATGATCAGATGACTAATTCTTAGTGGGTCAACCGTTGATTGTCCCACCGGACTGTAATTTTGAGAATGCTCCAATGAGCACATTACGGCGCTGGCAGTTGGTACAACGTATGGTGCAACACTTTTGGCGGAGACGGAAACAAGAATATTTAACACAATTCTTCCAAAGACAGAAGTGGGCTGCTCGAATTCCGGAATTTAAAGAAGGTAATATAGTTTTAATAAAAGAAGATAACTTACCTTTAGCCAAATGGTTGTACGGTAAAATAATACAACTGCATCCGGGGAAAGACAATTTGACGCGTGTTGTTTCTATTCGTTGCAAGGATACCACGATCAAACGTCCAACTTCAAAGCTATGCTTGCTTCCCGTTGAGGCTTAAATTATTCATTGTTTGGTGTTGCCGTATTGGCTTATGTTTATTTAGATTTTAATTTAATACTGAAAATGGTTTATGATTTGTTTTGTTTGCTATTGAGTTTCAGTTTGTTTTGTTTAAAACTATTGGTGAATTTATTTAGTTACACTTTTTTGTTATATTTTTTAAAGGCTTTTATTAAGTTTAATTTAACCTTTAAGTAGGATACTATTTGTTTTGCTTGTTGTCTAGACTTAAGATAGATAGGACTTACTTAATCTTTGTTACTATTTAGATTTTGTTATTTAGCGGTTGTTGTTGGTCGTGACGAGAGAAAACACGAATGAAAGTCTAAATATCGTCACTTGATAAATTAATATATTGTAAAAGTCAACACACACGTAAAAATAGTTCAGAAGGAGAAGTTTAGGAAGATACACAGTAATACACACGTTAGAAGTACAAACACAAGAAGTCCACATACAAATACTAACGAAAACGATTAAATAATGTAAAACTAGTAAGTAGCATCAGCTGGTAAGGCGTCGACTGTCGTATGTTAGAAAAATCATTATTGGCCGGTAGGAGACAAATAAATTTCCTTTCCGCCGTATACTACGGGTTTCGCGCGGCTATGCTTGTGAATAAAAATAAATATGAATAAATATTAATTTATAAATATAAATAATTAAATATTTGTATTGTATGAATGTAGGTGTATGTTTATATGATATTAATACGTAAATTAAATATTAAATAAATTATAAATATTATGTTTTGGAAAGTTAATATATAAATATGATAAACTAAATATATTACGTATAAGTCACCTACATCACTCCCCCCCAGAGGCCGTGTCTACGGACGATAATAATCAGGGAAGTGTACGTGTCTCCCGGAACGCGTTATGAATTTGGCAGTTGTGTGATCGGGGTGTATGTCTGGAGGTGGAGAATTGCATGGTTGAGGTATTGGGTTTGAATCGGATAATAAGTAGGCTGGCTTAAGGCGGTCTATTGATACTGTCACGGTTTTTCCCTTTACGTCAATTTTAAAAAATTTTGCGCTTCTCGTCAAAACTTTGTGTGGACCAGTGTACGCAGCTTGTAGTGAGCCCCGTAGCGCGTCTTCCCTTAGGAATACGTGGCTACAGGATTCTAGATTTTTGAAGATAAATGTCTTCTGCTTTGATTGATGATGCTGCGTTGGGACTGGACGTAGTTTCCTGACAAAAGACTTAATCCGCGTTGAGAAGTCGGTTATGTCCGTAGTGTAACCAGCCACATCATGCCCGAGGAACTCTCCGGGTAGCCTGAGTGGCTCACCATACACCAACTCTGCGGATGAGGCTTGTAGGTCTTCTTTAAACGCGCTTCTTATGCCGAGGAGTACTAATGGAAGCGATTCGGTCCAGTGTTCGTCATCGTGGCATATGATGGCAGCTTTTAGTTGCCTGTGAAAACGCTCCACTAAGCCATTGCACTGCGGGTGGTAAGCGGTTGTCCTACGATGTTGGAATCCAATGGATTTTGACAATTGTTGAAACAGGGCGGACTCAAATTGCCGGCCTCTGTCTGAAACAATATCTGTAGGACAACCAAATCGTGACACCCAGCATGATACAAATGCTTTGGCCACTGTTTCAGCGGTGATATCGGTGATGGCGACAGCTTCCGGCCATCGCGTAAAGCGATCGACGGCTGTCAAACAATACCGATATCCGTTTGAAAATGGTAATGGGCCGATCAGGTCTATGTGTACGTGTTTGAAACGCGCCGAAGGTAACTCGTGCGTACCCAAAGGTGAGGCAACGTGTCTAGTTACCTTCGAGCGTTGACAAGACAAACACGCCTTAGCCCATTCACGGCAATTTTTGCGCATTAGTGGCCAAACAAAACGTTGTGCTACTAGCTTAGTCGTAGCATTAGAGCCAGGGTGGCTTAGTGAGTGCAAGGAGTCGAATACTTGCCGGCGAAGACTAACTGGGACGTAAGGTCTGGGAGTCGGCGTACTGACGTCGCAGTACATTTCTGTACGACTACCAGGAATAGTCAATTTCTTTAAATGTAAAGATGTTTCGCCTTTTAATATATTTGCGAGGTCTGCATCTGTAGACTGGGACTTTGCAAGTTCCTCCAGGTCGACAGGTTTCTGCAATTCATTGATACGAGATAGTGTATCGGCAACAATGTTGTCTTTACCCGATATGTGTCGTATATCTGTCGTGAATTGCGAGATGAAGTCCAAGTGCCTATACTGACGTGGTGAGCAGTTACTCTTTCTTTCATGAAATGCGTAACATAAGGGCTTATGGTCAGTATAGACTGTGAAATGGTTGGCCTCTAGCATATGGCGAAAATAGCGAATGCTTTCGTATATTGCAAGGAGCTCCCGATCGTATGGTGAATACTTTACCTGTGATGGGCTCAACTTGCGTGAGAAAAACGCTAGAGGTTGCCATGCTTCATCTTGATATTGCTGAAGGACTCCACCTATCGCCGTGTCAGAGGCGTCAGTGACAAGTCCCAACTTAGCATTAGAGTTAGGATGTGCTAGAAGTGCAGCCTCGCAAAGACTCTTCTTGCACTGCTCGAATGCCTGCAATGAATTTCCCGTTATGTCGACAGGATGTAAGGCTTTAACTGAACCAGTCAGTAAGGCATTGAGTGGAGCCTGTATCTGAGCGGCTTTAGGTATCCAGCGTCGGTAAAAGTTTATCATCCCTAAAAATCGGCGAAGTTCTCTTACCGTTTTAGGAACTGGAAAGTCTAATATGGCCTTGACTTTAGTATCTAAGGGCTTAGTACCATTCTTCGAAATGTGATATCCCAGGAATGCTACCTCAGGAACACCAAAGACGCATTTAGCCATGTTGACTAAAACACCGTTATCTTTCATACGGGTGAAAAGTTGGCGCAAATGATCTTCGTGTTCTTCTTGTGTCCTAGAGTACACTAAAAAATCGTCTAAATACGGATAACAGAAGTCAAGTCCGCGGGTCATTTCGTCGACGAACCGTTGGAAGGTCTGACCAGCATTTCTCAACCCAAACGTCATGAAAGGGAATTCGTATAGACCGAAAGGAGTCGTTATTGCTGTTTTCGGTATGTCCTCCTCAGCGACGGGAATTTGGTTATAAGCCTTGACTAGATCAATAACGGAAAAGAACTTACATCCAAATAGGTTGTGTGAGAAGTCCTGTATGTGACGTATGGGGTATTGGTCAGGTATAGTTCTAGCGTTTAAAAGTCTATAATCTCCGCAAGGGCGCCAGCCATTGTCTTTTTTCGATGCGAGATGTAGTGGTGATGACCATGGGCTGTCAGAAGGACGCGCCGTGCCATTTGCTAACATGGCTTCAAACTCTTGTCTAGCAATATTAAGTTTATCGGGAGCTAGTCTCCTCGGTGCGCAAGATACTGGTGGGCCTGGTGTAGTGCGTATGTGGTGTTTTGTGTGGTGTTGTACGAGTCCCGGTGTACCGGCGGGTCGGGTTATTTCTGGAAATTCTGCTAGAATATTATGATATCTACTACTGCCGCCAGTTGATACTTTGACACTCGTAATTAGATAATCGGTGCTTACAATACTAGCTACTGTACTAATATCTGTTAGACTATCTATTAATTTATGGTTACTGACATCCACAATAAGTTTATAATAAGACAAAAAATCTACACCTATTATTGCTTTGGTTACGTCGGCGATAACAAAACGCCATGGAAAATTACGACGTAAACCAATGTTTAAAGTTAAATTTATATAACCATACGTATCGATTGTTGATCCGTTTGCAGCACTGAGTTGATATTGCGTCTTATGACGTGTTTCACGAATAGCACTAATTGGATATACACAAATGTCACTGCCAGTGTCTACCAGGAACTGCGTGTTCGAAGTGCGGTCGGTCACGAAGAGGCGACTGGGGGAAGCAGGGCAATCGGTTGTCGCCATCACTGATTGCTCGGGGCGTTTCCCGACTTGAAGTCACAGGGTTGGATGCAGCTTCTTGCCTTCGAGCCGAATTTACTATGGTACCAACACGTTGGGTACCGTCGGTGACTCGAAGTGGACCGTCTTGATTGTGACCGGCTTTGATGTCGTCTGTGACCTCTGTCGCGAGGTCGTGACCTCTCGTTGACTTTGGCAGTGAGCGCACTAACCTGTTTTGTTAACTCGGCGACTTGTTGTGTTAGCGATTCGATACATGACGATGATGTGGCAGCTACCTGTTGTGCTGGGGTTGCTATGTCATGTATCCTATCTGCGAGCTCTGCCAACGCGTCTAGGGGCAGAGTAGGTTGCGAGGCTATGATGGGCTGCATTTCTACTGGTAAGCGGCTGGTCCATATAGTTTGCAGGAATTCTCCAGGTATGTCTGGTCCAGCCAAGTGCTGCAGATGACGCAGAAATTGCGATGGCTTTCTGTTTCCTAGCTGTTCGTGCATTAACAGCTGCTTCACTTTATTCTCGCGTGATACCGATAACCGCTTAATAAGTTCTGCTTTAAGGCGATTGTAATCGGGTGGGCTGGTGATGACGTCTTCAACTTCTGCGGCATACTGTCTATCTAATGTTGACAGTACGTGGTAGAATTTAGTAGCATCGTCAGTAATACCGTATAATCTGAACTGACCTTCTATTTGCGCAAACCAGATGGCAGGTTTTTCAGGCCAAAAGGGTAGTGACCTGATCTGCGGGGGCGTCTGAGGTGTCGGGGCGCATTTTGCGGGCGTCGCCATCTTGGCACGCGGTCGAGTAGTAACGTGCGAGGTTGCCGAATCACTTCCACTACTCATACTCCAAGGGTCTGTGGCGTGCACTATAGGGGTCACCAGTTTAGCGGTTGTTGTTGGTCGTGACGAGAGAAAACACGAATGAAAGTCTAAATATCGTCACTTGATAAATTAATATATTGTAAAAGTCAACACACACGTAAAAATAGTTCAGAAGGAGAAGTTTAGGAAGATACACAGTAATACACACGTTAGAAGTACAAACACAAGAAGTCCACATACAAA